CTGCGGCCCTGACGGCCGCTTGCTTCAGGGAACACCTCTGCGAGCCCATCCCGAGCACCCGGCTCCAGGGGAACTGTTTGCCAGGTGAGCCAGCTGGAGTATTTCTTGCTCTGTTCGGGCTTTTGTCCGTTTTCTGTTTTGGCTGTGTTTCCTTGTGATAAAAGCAGCCTTTGACAGGAGGGCAGCGCTTCACGACGGGCATCTCCTGTTCCTCCCGGCTCCCCTCTCCAGCTCCGTCTCGGTGCATCCCCGCCTTTTCTTGGTACGCTTCTGCTTCCAGTTATCTAACAACTGTTCCTCTGTTCTGCAAATCACTTTCAGGTCTGTGCCAACTGCCAGCTCCCTAAAGGTTTAATTATCTGCTGCTTGCTCCTTCCCTTCTTTCTTCTCATGTAATTTTCATTTTAATACTCATTACCAGCTCCACACCAAAGACACCCTACTTGGCCCCAGCTTTCAGCACCCTGGTGGCTCCACACCCCTCGTCCTGACCTCAGCCACGCTCAGAAGCACAAACAATGACTTCATCTCGGCGTCCATAACCGAAACGGCTCAAAGGCAGAAGTGTTTCGAAGAGGAATAGGCAGCCTCTGAAGATACAGTTCCCCATTATTTCCCTTTTTGGCTCCTCGGGAACGGCCTGGGCTCTAAAAGGCATTGCTGGTGGAGCTATCCCAGCAAAATCCCTGTCAGCGCCACAGTTTAACATCAGAGTCAGGGAATCGGTGTCGTCCCGCAAAGAAACTCTTGGCAAAAAGGACTTCTCGCCCAGTTCAGTCGTGCCGATACGGGATACGGAGGGTTTTGCCAACAGGGTTATATTAATCAGCAAGGTGTTTTTACCAATAGTTCCGCTGCCAACGTTTGTGTGGGCTGGCCCGAGCCTGGGTTTGACGCTTCCTCCCGCTTGCGCTGCCCACACGGCTGTGCTCCCTCCGTCCTGCCTTGGACTGACGGCAGCATCACGGGCACGCCATTGCTCTCCTGCTGCTTACCCGTCGGGGTGGAAAGCCTCATCCGCGCTTCTGTCTCTTCACCACGTAGATCTTCATAGGTCTCAAGCCCCAGCTGTCCAGATAAAATGACAGAGAAACAGCCCGTCCTTCCTTTTCAGCTGTAAGAGGACACATTTTTACGTGGTCTTCACCCAGCGCCCCGAGGAGCACCTCCTCCTTGCAGCTCCTGCCCCATGACTCAGCCTGAACAATCAGAACATCAGAACATCAGAACAATCTCTTAATATCGAAAAAACCCCACTTTTCTATACTTTAAGCTGCAAACTTTCAAAAGACTTTTCAGGGTTTAGACATTTACCATAATGAAAGATATATCTGCATCTCTGCTCGTTTTGGAAATCCATGTTTTCAAATCCGACTGAAGTCTTGCCTAAATTTCCTCCTTCCCCTGTCTTAAAAGGACCAGCACTTGTTTCATATTTTACATGACTGTGCTCGTCATCTTTCTGTTTCCAGATGTTCCAAAGATGTGCCAGTCATTCTGAGGCACACTACGGAACACAGAGCTGAGCAGCTCTCCCTGTGATGACACCGAGCAGACTTTCATCCACCCAAGCCCCGAAAAGGAGAAAAACTGCTTAACTGGACACTTAGGAGTGACTCACTACTGAGCTAAATATTTACAGTGAAAGAAAGGCAATTTCAGCTCTGCGTCTTTACAGGAGAATCTAGCACATCCTGGACAGGCTTCACCAGGGTAAACCCAGAGCTCAAACCGAACCCGTCTCGACAGTGAAACCCTTCAAGCCGGCGTAGTTAACCATCGTCTGAACATTGAAACACTTCTGTGTTGAAAGCCTCTCTGGGTTTCCTGAATAAAAACAAATAATTTGTAGTTACATATTTGTAATCTGTCCACAACCTACCAGCACCCCAATTCTTAAAACACGCAATTTAATCAGTAGAAGTAAATAGTCAGCCCCATTGAGGGCTCTGTTTATAAAGCCGTATTTTTCATAGAATCATAGAATGGTTTGGGTTGGAAGGGACCTTAAAGACCATCTGGTTCCAACCCCCCTGCCATCAGCAGGGACATCTTCCACCAGCCCAGGTTGCTCAGAGCTCCATCCAACCTGGCCTTGAA